CCCGCACGGCTCTTTTCAACTCCCTCGTTGTCTGCCAGCCTACCTCGGTGATTAGCAAATTAGCCTCTGCGCCGAAGCTTGGCCAACTTACGGCCGGAAGTCTCTCACTAACAGCGGCGAGATTGTATACCTTTTGTGCTTTCTGTTTTAGGCGTGGGACGTCCTCGGTGTTAGGGTGTCGGGACTGGAACGCCCGCTTCGGGCGGTCATCAGGGTTCGTGTGAGCGAAAAACAGTAATCCAGCTGTGTTTTTTCTCTCTCCTTAATTTGGGTTTTAGGTTTTAAAGGGAGCGGGGAAAACAAACGTCGCCTTTGGCTTTAATGACGCCGTAATTTATATCAACCGAATAATTTTTGTTTTCTTCTCGGATGCTCGTTTAGCCTCTAATGCGATAGTCGCTGTCAGCTTGAGAAAGGCGGGGCGTGGCGAGTCCCAAGCGTCTCATTATCTCTTCCTCAGCCAATGAGATTGCGGCATTCGCCGATAAGAACGTCCAGGGACCAATCGCGAAGCAAGGAGCGCCAACCTGAAAGCGCCTCGCTCTGCTCTTCCTGACTTGCCAGTGACTATTAGACGTTTCCAGGGCTTATCCCCCCCCCCCCCCCCCCCCCCGGTGAAAAACGCTGCGTCACTGAGCTTTCGACCCACGAACGATATACCGCACAACAGACCTACAGCGCATGCTCAGAAGGCCTTCCAGAGTCAAAACAGACAAAGATGGCAGCTCGCAGAAAGCGAAATTTGGAAAGGTTTATATAGTAGAAGGCAAACCGTGTTCTGAACTACTCGTTTTTAACAACCGGGTGTTTACGGGCACTCACAACCACGAAAGAGTAACCCAATAGGGGGTAGTTGAAGTGGTAAAATTGAACGTTTGAAATGTTTATACAGCGAGAGGTTATTTTACCTATTTAATCGTACTGTTAGTTCTTTCGGCGCTGTTACAGGACTACACATAAATACATAAAGAAAAAACAAAACAAAGAAAAAACAAAAACAAGAAATACTGAACGACTATTGTTCAGAAGTTTCATAGTAAATTAAATAATATTGATTCTACTAAATTGAATATTTTACACTGCCTAAAACCCTTCTCACGGGTATTTGATAATTTTATCGACCGAAGGCTTCAAAGGGGTAAGGAAACGAAATGACGTAAGCGCAAACTCTAAACCCCTCGCTGCAATGTCGGCCTGCGAGAAGCGCAATGCACATCGCGTTCGCGACGTCAATATCTCCTGCATGGTCAAGGGTACTGTAGTTGCGAGCCTTGTCGCTTGGCGGCGGCAATGCGTGATAATCTCGCCTAGATATCCGAGGACTGCACGCCCTACGGCCTACACATAGCTTGCCCGTAACATCATTTGCAGCCATGCCGGTATTTTATGTACCACGAGCGTTCGCTTCATCATGTTAATTTCACACCGCAGAAGTAATGGCTTGGGGGAACCAGTAAGGAAAAAACACTCAGTACCCGGCAATGGCGTATGGTTGGCTTGACTTAGGTCCCCGCACCCTCAGATCAAGCTCCTACCTTACGTCTGCAAAGAACGGCGATCTTGATAGTGTGGAAAGGACGTTGCAGAAGCAATGTGTTGCTGGAGACTGTAGTCAATGCCACAACCATGAGAGCTCGAGGTCGCTGCTTTGAAGCGTTGTTCCGCAGAACGATCGAGCGCTCGCGCTAGAAATGCATGTCTCAAAGCCATGGAGCGCGAGCTAGCTGCGCTTGTAGCTTGGGCTGCAGTCTCAGCTTATGAGCGTTTTCAGCCAAGTCACATTCAGAACAAAGTCACTCCACGAGAGAGCCGTACTGTCGGGAACTGACGCTCCTTCTTAGGAACTCATAACGTGACGGCATTCCACCGGAGCTTCACAGACCGCCACCAGTTGAGTTGAGAAAACCTCTTTCTTCAATGCCACGCATGGCTGCTCTTGCTCTAAAACATCCGGAACAGAAAAAAAAACAAGTAAAAAACATTACATACACACAGTTGCGTTTGGAGCGGCCGACGAACGCTGCCAAACGTCGTCAAACGCTCCACACCGCAACCGTGCGATGAAGTTCGCACTCGCTGTCACCGATGGTCCTGTCGTCCGCCGTCAGCGTATAGAAGAAGCTGCAGAGCTGGTTCCACAGGAACAGTAATGTAGGCGGCGGCTTGTCCTGTGGGGTCGCCCAGTCCTCAAAGGTGCTAGGTTGGTCTGATAAACCGGAATGTCAGCCAAGGCGTCGACGCGAGCCGCAGTGTGCTCGGGACACTCCCAGATAACGTGCTGCGTCGTTGCAAGGGCGTTGCATGCTGTACAGTATCCCTGGTGTGGCTCATCTTGAAATATGTGGTCGCGCAGGGTTGGCAGCATGAGGGTCTTACACCGCCACCAGACTCGATATTGAAATCTGTTCATTCGTTTTAAAACTTAGTTTTCTTGGCTTCTCTGCCTGAAGACCAGAAACACCAGTCTAGGCTAGTGTTTCTGGGCTGCCGGCACAACATGGACCACATCTAAACAAAGAAATAGAAGTGGAAACATTTCGTTTCCGTACCAATTCAGCTCACAATTCTGACGCAGTGCGTGATTCATGTAGGATGTGCTGGGTCACTGATTTCACAAATACCCTCAATCTGAATGTCTTTGAAATTCCTGTAAAAAACAACGTAAAAAAAAAACTATTTTTGTAATCTTAGTGTTTCGAGCTGCCTTTGGGATTTTACAATACTAGTTTATCGATGTTGGGAGCAATTTTCACAGTGGAGCACGACTCGCTGGGTTGGGGTATACTATAGTGTATGTATACAGTTATGATTGCACTACGCCTTACGGATGCAGCACCTGTTGATGACGGATAAAGGCCGGTTCACACATGCAGCGAAGCGCTAATGTAGCGCTTCTCACGTGTCGTCTGCTACTTATTGTCTGCCATGAACAACAGTATTGATGGTGCGACACAAAGCTGGTGAACGCTCCCGTCAGCACGCGCTTAGCGCGAGGTCAGCGCTACGCTTGTAGCGCTCCGCTACATGTGTGAACAGGCCTTAAGAGTGGGTACCAGGCGCAGATTCTCCGGGTTCTGCAACTCGAGTTTGAGCTCTGCGTACTCTGAGCTGCTCTACGATTCTTCAATGGTCCCGGACATTGAGCTCAAGTGCCAGCTTATGACATTAGGCTCTCATCTGTTCCTATATCCAAAGCTTGCTGCCAGTCAGATGTCTTGTCTTGACTTACCTCAACTAAAAAAGAGAGCCTTTACATGCGTTAATTCATCTAGGTATTCCTGGAACTTTGTCCAAAATTCTGAAGGGAAATCTCCGTCTTTTCACCAACGAGGGTAACGAGAGATATAAATAATTGTTTTGGACCTTTTGTAAAAAGGGCGTTTTTCTAAGCTGGGCAGTGAAAGCCAAGTGATTTCATTAGAATTTGGTGACATCCTTTGATATTCTACAACCAGAACAGTGCGGTTAGAAATATTGTGTAATCAAACTTTGAATAGGGATCGAGGTTCTAGATATACATATTAGTTTGCGTGAGCGTCCGAAATTGGCCGAATGAGATTGTTTGAATTCAAAGCGTCGTATTCACGGGGTCTATTTTAGTACCGGCAATAAGTTTTACCATATTGAAATGTCCTAGGCTCTTTTGTCACCCCTACCTGTGTTATGTGTCTGAGGTTTAACTGTTAAAACCTCGCTCCGACAGTGAATCCGACAAACACGCATGCGCGAATGGACTCTGTATCTAGTATGCTTGCACGAACGTTTTACATTTTGAATTTCTCTAACATGTTCCAAAACACTGCTACGGGAAATGTTTGCAGAAGTAATGAAAGTGAGAAGACGCAAAGTATGCTTATGTCTGCTATTCTTCGTTTTAGCTTAAGTCCAGACGCAGCCGGCAATACGAGGTAATGGGACCAATCAAGGAGCGTCAAAAGCGCAAGTCACTAGGCCTTTTGTTGTTTATAATTGATTCAGCGATGATAGAACACGTACAGATTAACATGACGAACACCATGAGGGTGCGCCTTTGATGCTGTCTGATTGGTTCCATCAGCTCTTAACGTCTAGTGCGTCTGGACCTAAAGTGAAACGAGGCATAGGACAGAGGTGAATATGATATTCAAGTCGTAATTAAGGGAGGAGGATATTTACGACGTATCATTTTGATTGGCTGCATGTCCCTGTGACCGGTGTGTCTCTTGTATCCTAAAGAATATGTGTGTTCTGTGGAAAATAGGTAGAATAAAATAATGCGTACAATTCGATATAAGAAAGCAGTGGAAAATGTAAGGATAGAGGTGAAAAAATGAGCACGCACACGCAGTGCCAAAGATTTTCTTTACGAAAGTACACAACGATATAAAACTGAGAGGAAAAAGAAATGAAGCGTAGCAGCCTTACAAAACAAGCCATGACGACTTAAACAAAATGAGACCTTCACCCCCATTTCTCTCTTTGTCTCTCTCCGTGTAAACTCAACTCCTTCCTGTAAGATTGACGCTGCTCACGTCCCTAGATAAACCGAATGTCGTTATATTGTGAACCTTATACATATCCCTTTCGAATATCGTATACTGTGTTTAGTCAATACATCGATAACAATAAAGTGAAGTGCTTTCAAATTGATCACCATATACCCTACTAAAGGCATTATACTGAGCTCTTGGCCAAGCTAAACTTTAGGTCAATCGTGGAACACCGAGCAGTCAACACCGACCAAGGGACCTTATGGAGCCTATCACAAGGGGGAATGTTATGTTGCCCTTACATTACGCCGTTTATAATCGCCGTTTACAACCTTTCATTTAGTTCTAATTCATGCCTTGGTATATATTGCATGAACAATAAATTGAGTACCCTCTTAATCTCCCTAAAAAAAGCGCGTATTTCCGTATTTTTTGAATTCTGTACCCTGCCAAAGTTAGTCGGTAATAACTTCCCAGCATCGCGAAATTTCTTATCAAGCTCACCCCTAGCCGCGCCTGCTTTATTATAGTCTAGTGTTTGCTGGCTTTGTTTTTCTCGTTCATTTTCGTGTTGCTGAGAACTTGGGTTGTTCTTAAACATCGATTTCATAACAATGGCATAATCCCTGCGTTGAATGGGTGGAAGCGTGCTAGACAGGTTACGTGGCTCGGTATCATCCTCGTCAGAACGTGTGCCGACTGTCCCATTTGTCCTGTCCGTCACGGTCACTGGTGTCACAAACTCGTCGTCGACAGTAACAAGAGAGCTCTTCACAAAAGGAGCGCGGGTCCCATTCGAGTCCAGGCTGAGGTCCTCTACGTCCACGACAAGACTAGTCACGGTCGTGGTCGTGAATTCAGCGTTGACTTTGGTCGACGTCTTGAGGCTCAGGTTGTCTTCTTGGGCCCCACCATCTCCCACAACGACCAGCAGCTCGGGATCCGGTTCTTCGCGAATTCCAGTCGGCCCGGTGTCCACGTCGTGATCCCGGCTTTGCAAATCACGGATCAGGAGGGTAAGTGGGTTTTCGAGACTCAGCTTTTCCTCGTCTACCTTCGCTTCACTTTCCCCATCAACCAGCTCTTTGAAGGCCACGGTTTCATCGAGGGCTTCGACGAGGTGCCGGGACAGGTCTTCATCCGTTATTTCCGGTGCAGGCAGGAACTTTGTTCTAATAGGCCCTGTTGGCTTCGGCTTGAAGCCAATCCTTGGATGTAATGTTGACTCGGGGATTTTGTGTGGGTATACGAGGTTGGGGTCCGGGCGTATCCTTCGTGTTCTCGTCGTTGATGTTTTTTCAGTTTCTGTTCCTTCCTCTCTTTCCCGAACGTGTATGGTGAGTCGGTCTTCTGGGTTCGTATCAACAGGCTCCCCGAAAGGCGCACTTTGAGTCGTGAACTGTGCTTCGAGGTACGTGCCCATGTCGACGGGAGTGTGGTCCATCAGCGGAAGCGTGTCCGAAGAATCCCGCAGCGATCCGGCGTCAGACTGATGATCAGAAGTGGAGGTCAAAGGAGCCTTCTGAGCTACGTCGATCGGACTTGCTTCAAAAATGTGCGTCAGTGACGCGGCTTCATGAAAAAAAAAGTAAGAAGAAAATAAGATAAATTATTTAGAAAAGCGATAACGGTAACTTATCAATTAATGTGATTACTTGATTTACATACTGCCCACCCTTCGTAGCGCACGAGAGGAGTTGAAGACACGCAAAACACACTCTTCATTTGCAGGCAACATGAAGTTACTTTGGTAACAAAATAAAGCACGTTATTTCCATGTACTTTGAGTCACAGTTTCGTTGTCGCAAAACTAAAAGGTAACATCGTGCAAAAAAAAACAAAAAAACCTTGTACAAAAAAAAAAAAAAAATGTCACAACACACTTGTATGTTTGCGCGGTTTTTGACTTCGATCCTAGCTGGATGCGATCTTTTAATTTTTCTTATGGCATTTGCTACGACCACGCTTTATCGTTTTTTTTTTCTTCTAAGAATCTGTAAAGAAAGTTTGTTTATTTTTTCTTTTTAGCAAAATCGAGTCGACGCTCTGAAGGATCTGCAAACGGTAAAATTAAAGAAAAATTCAAGTACCATACTTGAATTATTAACTTTACAAAACATGCACTCGTTCTACTCACGGCGTCGAAGGCAGTTCTTAGTTTTTTTTCGCAAGTATTATTCCGAGTCCGACAAAGTGGCTTGAGTCGTAGTCTTGGAATGCTTAAAGGCCAGTGTGTAAGGTAAGTGAACGCAGTAACTCACCAAAAAAACACAAGAGGGGCGCACGAAGTATTGCCATAGTCGTTCGGGACCTGCATTTTGAACGAGCAAGAAAAGGCATTAAGTCCGCGGGATGTTTTACGCAGCGATTTACACCTCAGAAGGCACTGAGAATAAACGATTCGTTAAAATTGCTCCCAGGACAATGCACGATGCTTGCATGTGCGGGATGCCTTATAGGTGGTAGATATTTTGATTTTGCCATGAAAGAATAAAATTAGAGTGTTCTATATCTCGTTGGTCATTTGCTCATATGAGGTTTAGTACTGGATTGTTCAAAAACAGAATTAAGGTCAATCTTAATAGACTACTAAATGTGATGTTTGACTGTGTTGTAAGGTATTCCTGCTGGGTTTTACTTCGTAATATATGTCTGTCCGGACATTTTTTTGAAACGCAGAAAAAGGAAGAAATGTGTGTGAAAGCTGAATATATTACGCAAGGTGTATTTGCTTCTTGCGCGATCAACTTAGGAACTTGAACCATTGTCGTCTGCCACGAGGTAACCTGTGTAGCCATGTTTTTATTGTCGATTTTATTTTTTGTAATAATAATTTCATTCTAATTTTTATACGAGTTTCCTGTCAATATCAACACGATATGACCGCGCATGTAATCAAGAAGTTTCCAAAAGAAAATATGACAAGCGTTCCGTAATAACAAAAGTTCACAACAGGGCTAGCTTGTGAATAAAACTAGGAAGCTCCAAGTCGATCACTAGATGGGGCGAGATACCGACTGATACAGGCGATGCGAAAGTTATAGGGTTATCAAAAGCGAAGGTAATAAGTTTATCACTTACATGCTTTTGTCTGCGGTTTCAAGCCATGCAGCACGACGTCTTTGGCTTTTTGTTTGTTTTTAAAGCAGGTCTTGTTACCAATAAATTTAACTAAATGCTCGTATGAACGCAAAAGCAAACTGATGGTAAGAATTTTATTTTATCTCGGTTTGTTTTGGTGTCTTGTATTGCGGCTGACTTCATTCCATTGAACATTTTTATGATACTTATGATTTAATATTTGATGCTTATAATATATTTCTCCTGTCTCTCTCACTCTTTATTATTGTATCCATACAGCTATCTTATAATGTACGCTGCATGAAAAAAAAAAAAAAAAAAATTCGGGACTCCCAAGAAGGCGGGCGTAATAGGGAGAACTCGAAGCCTGGGGAAGGAGAAAAGAACTCGAGAGAGGGAAAAATAGGGAGGAAGGGGAAAGGGGGCCACGGGAAAATGGGGACGGGGGACACTGGGGAATCCGGTCGTCGCTGTTCGCACCCCTCAAGGAGTCGTAATTAGCTCGAAGAGTGGAAATTTCGAGCGCGACGACCGAACCGCACGTAACAAAAAACGAAATAATAAAAAGACGTTAAAGAAAAAATACAAACGGGAAAACGATGCGAATACAGTAAGGTTGCATCGTCGCATCGAGAGGCGAATGCCTAATTATTATTAACGCGTCCCCATGTACATCGAAGTGCGTTTGCCTGGTTGGAATGGGGAACAGGAAAGAAAGAAAGAATCTAAGTGAAGGTAAGGGAAGGCTGGGGAAAAAAGGAAGATGGATGAGAACCGATCGTTTTCGGGAGGTACGTGTTTCCTATTTTTTTGTCTTTACGGCATGTGAGTTTATTTTCTTTTTATTTTTCCTTGAAGGCAGTGTAGTGGGGAGGGGAAGGCTTTAAATTGTGGTCGGAGAAGGAAAATAATGTTTTTGCGGTTAGGGCTATAAAGAGAGCGAAGGAGCTGTTTGAGTGTGCGGCGCTAATGTGGTGTCGTTCGATGCGTTTCTTGAGAGAGACCGTGGTTTGGTGCCCCTCCAAGGGAGGGTTTGTGGAGGTCGATGCCGCGGTCGGTGAAGCAGTTTGAAAAACAATAATATCGAGTAAAAAAACAGGAGAAAAGGTAAGGGTCGGTAGGAGTAAGAGGAGAGGCGGAAGCGCGTTTAGGAAAACTAATGTATACGTACTACTTGTCTTCGTGATTTTGCCCAGGTTTTTATTGTGTTCTCTACAGCAGTTTTCGGAGCATTGTGGCGTGCAATGGTTCCGGGAATAATTTAGTTCTTTGTTTTGTTTTGTTAAAGAACGATATATAGAAAGCGACTTTTTTTTTTGTCCGGCGGATCTATGCCTCGCTGTACAATACAAAGTGAGGTTGATACGCAAACGAGTTGATAGTTATTTAATTGTCATCAAGTCGTAAAAATAACGATCAGAAAACGATGAAAAAGATGAGTACTTGTCTCCGATTTATGTTTCCATTGATTCCGTTTGAAAAAGGATGATTTTTACGATAATAAAGTTCTCATGCCTTTCTTGACTTATCAGTCATTTTGTGAACGTTTGTTGTGATGATTAAATTTTACACAATATGTTCATAATATGTTCCCGTTTATATCGACAGTGTGCATTAATTGTGCCAACTATGTTCACTGACGGCTGATTCGGAAGCGCGGGACATGGCTTGTTGTGTGCGCTTTTCTTTACTCGCGATTGGTTTATTGAACTTTTTTTATCCGCAGCAATATGATTGGCTGCGGATCGATAATGAGATTCACGAGCCTCTCCGCAACCCCTGCGTTCCTTAAGCTGTCAGGAACCGCGGTATCCTGGCCCGGTCTTCTGTACTCTCCAACGTACATTTCGCAGACGCCGGATCGGCGGTACCCGTTAAGACTAATCGCACCGTCCATTTTTTTCTTCTCTTTACCGTACGAGATTAATGCAACCGGATCGATAAACTCCGGAGAGGGCGTTTTTAGCGACGCCGGAGAACCCCAGTATTTTTTTACATCCGCACGCTTTACTAGCGAACATCACTCGCGAGGCCATTCATCAAGCGCGTACGAAAGCTACTCCAAACTTGCACGCACGCTCTTTCTCTCTCTCTCATTCACCAGCGCACGATCGTCTGATGCAGTAAACATGCACGCGCGGCGGCTCTTGCACGCGACGAAACCCCGAGCAATTCGCGGCCTTAAAACCGCGATCACGCGTTCTCCCTCGTCAAAGGAGACTCGGACGCGAGTCGTCGAGGCGGGAGGCGAGCGCTGGCCGTCAAACTACCAAACTACGTCCGTACGACAACTTTTTTTACGAGGAAACCATCTCTTCCAGGCGCCAGACTCTCGTGCGAACCTCCCCATTTCAGCTGAGAAGGTTTTTTTGGCAGTTAGACTTCCGATGTATTGCCTTCGCGGATTTATTAACGAACACCGTCGGCGGCTTGGCGCGAAAAACCCTGTTTATAACTGGTTCGCGCGCGGAAATCTCGCGGGCTTTTCTGGCTGCGCATGTACGAATGCTTCGCCTTACGATGGAGCGCGTAAAAATGCTACGAGTCAACGGAGCCAATTACATTGCCGCGTAAACGTCGCGTGACTATGGGAAGGGGTGTAGCGCGATGCACGCGCTCAGGTAGTCGCGCTCGCGAAACGTTTGCGGGGATGCATTGGCGGCTGTGCGATCTCGTAACGTTCGCCGAGGTCCAACATAAGGTGAAAAGGAGGAGAAGTAAAGGGTAGAGGAGGAATATTTTGGGGTGTCTGGCACGCTCGTAAAAAGTGGTCTACCTTAATCCCGCCAACGGTTTCACCGCTGCGGCGGCGTGTTGCGACGACGGCGCCGACGTGTTTTGTGTAGCGCCGTGGATTGAATTGGCCGGGGCCTGCAACGCGTCGACTGGGGCTGCGACTCGGCGGTGGGAAGAATCGTAGAATGCGTATTTAATGGGGGCTAGAGTTGTGTCTTGCTTGATTTGAATTTGTGGCAGAATGTGTGTGAGGTAGCCTGTCTTGGCGTCTTGCGACGTTTTTTGGATTGCATTATCGAGAAAATTGCACGCTTCTTTTCTGAATTTATTTATGGATGAATAAGATATATTCTTATCGTAGTTTACTCACTAGCACTTCGTTATCTTGTACGATTGACACGGTAAAGTAATTTTATGTTACATATGGTTACCTAAAGTGGAGTCTACAAATTTAAGACGCTGTATTATCTCTCCAAACTAAAGCATTTATTCACTGTAGGTGATATGGCCAACCTAATATAGCTGCTACCAAGCTGAAATATGTGACTACAAGTCCTCCAAGCCTATTGAGCTTTTCCGATGTGTCATACGACGTGTCGGTCTATTTTATACGCACGTGTGTCGTTAAACACGCCCGAGGTGCTTCTTACAATGCGGCTTCGGCACTCGGCTTGTTCGTGAGAGAGAGAGAGAAGGAAAGAGAGAAATCT